TCCTCAATCTTCTTTTTTGGAAATCCATCAGATATTACAAACCATTTCTTTGAAAATCCAACAAATCTTACAACCCCAAATATGCAAATTTGAAAGAAAAATCTTTTTCGAAAACCCAATAGATCTTGCAAACCCACATACATACAAATTTTGAAAAAAAAAATCTACTTCTTTGAAAATTCAGCAGATATTGTAAAACCCAAACATGCAATTTTGAAAAAAAAAAAAAAATCTTCCTTAAAAACCTACCATATCGCAAGCAGATTTTATAAACACAGATCTCAAAAATCAGAAGCTAAGAAAATCTACGGAAGTTAAAAAAGAAAAGAGAGGTAGTAAAAATGGGTCATCGCCACCTGTTCCGATCGCTACCATCGGCCTAGGTCGCCACCTCTTGTTCCAATCACTGCCGCTGTTGGCCTAAGAGAGGGAGGGGGAGAGAGAAGTACGAAAGATGAGGGAGGTGACACAGGAAATTGAATAGTTATTTAGGTTAAAATATAAGATTTCGGTTTTATTCAGTTAAACCGAATCSAACCGACAGTGAAAATCATCTGAATCGACCCGACCCGACCTTATTCAGTTCGGTTCGATTTTTCGAGTCGGTTCGGTTATTTACACCCCTAATCCAAAGTGGGATGTGTTATATATCATCCTCGAAGTTCACTTCATTATAATATATGATATCAACCAAGACATTAGAAAAATTTTATAATTACAGACTAATAATCYCTTATTTTATTTCTAGGATAATATTGACATACCGTTGGTAAAAGTGGCACATAAGTTTCTCCTCATCATAAGTTTTATAAATTATGATCATATATATATACAACAAAATCATAAACTCTACACCATTTGATATATTTTTCACACATGGGATATATATTTGTAAAAATTAGAAACAACAGATAGAGCAAAGCCAAAGCCAACATAGTCCGGTCGGTCCGAGATTGGTGTAATTTTGTTCTTTTTGACTTAGATTTATGAAATTTGGACTTTTCTATTAAATTAAATCTGGGTATTTATGAAATCGTTTTTTCCTAAACGATTTATGAGATCATTTTTTCCTTAATTATGTAATTTTGATCATCTTTTTAAATTAAATCTATGCAATCTTGGCCTAAATTCAAGAAATTTTCATTTTATTTTAAATTAAATCCGAATATTTATGAAATCTTGGGTGAGATTATGCAAATTTCAATATTAGATGATTTTTTACCCACTCAATTAACTAATTTCCATTTTTAACATTAATTTTTCGAAGTTAAAAAATTTGATTTTCACATTAAACGATTTTTTCAATTAGATTTTTTTGACTCATTCAATTAGTTTAGATTCTTCGTACTAAAAAAAGAAAATTAGTTTAAATTCTTCAAATTCATAAGGAGAGTATTTTTTTGAGATTCAAACCAAATGGTGTTTTCGTAACTACACATTAAAATTTCAATATGGGAGGTGTCAAAGTTTTTTGTAAATGGGTCAAAAATCCTAATTTCCTTAGATTTTTTAGGTTTTAGAGGAGTGGTTGGTGGGATGATATTTAGAGAAAAATATGAAAATTGGTTAAAAATTAGAATGAAGGGGTATGTTAAGAAGGGGTCAAAAATCCGAATCTATAATAAAATGGGTCAAAATCCCTAATTTCCAGTGAAAAAAGTTTTATAGAAGAGAAAGAGATARATTAAGAAGGTATAAGAAAGTTGAAACTACTAATTTTTACTTATATTTAAAGACAGAAACAATAATGAAAAGGAAAAAAAAACAATAAACTAAATTAATACTCTGGAAATCAAAAGAAAAAAAAACAATAACACGAATAAAATTGATAGTCTCGTGTCGCTGATGGGGATGACTGCGACAATTTCTGGTTGGTTTCTAAGGACCTGTTTGATAACACTTTGTTTCTTGTTTCTCATTTTTGGGAACATTCTCACAATTGTATATAAATTTTAGTAACAATAAAAATAAGTTTTCTTATTTTCAATTTGTTCCAAAACATAAATAAAAACATTATTTTATCATACATGAATTCTTGAAACTATGTAACACATTTTTCTTCCTTAAAAATAAAGAAACATAAACAAAAAACAGAACGTTACCAAACGATTCCTAAAAAACTTCATGTCTATTGTTCTATCAATGGAGACGTGGATAGAAATTGAACACAAAAAGGAATATGAAATATGTAACCACARGGGAAGAAAGAAATGAGCCATATTTATAGAGAGAAAAGATGGGCCTACGCCACCAAATCTATAGGAAAGAAAAGAAATAAACTATATATTTATGACAATTAACATAGCATTAATAAACTAAACATTTATTTGTTAGGTAGCCATCTTAAGGTGATTTTGTTTCATCATTTTCAGTTAATTACATTACATTATATATATGAGCCTCATCATCTTTCTAATTTATTTTCTTCTCTCTTCTTATGTTATCTCATTTTTTTCCACGGTCCATTACCCTCCGTTTGGAACTAGAATTTGCAAAGATTTTAAATCATAAATGATTTTGAAATCATTTCATGTGTCTGTTTGGAAAGAAAAAGAATGAGTTTGAAATTAGATATGAAATCACGTTCTAAATCCGAAAATTTTCCATTTCAAATAGTTCAGATTTGTCAGGATTTGAAATWAAAAAGTATCTWATTTCAAATTTACCCTAMATTCAAATAATCTTCAAACATGAGTTCATAAGCAAATAGTCATTCAACTAAATTACTTTTTTTCTCGACTCTCTTCTACAAATATTTTTCGAATTATTGTTCAAGCAAAATAAAATTTTTATATATTTAAAATTTCTCTTTAGTATTTTTTAAAACATTTTTTAATTCTTTTTTAAAGTTTCCTCTTGTATTTTTGTTTGTGAGGTTTTTTCTTCAAAGATGTTAAAAAAGAAAATTAAGCAGGTAAGAGGTTGCATTAGAAGAAAAAACTAATCATATGAATTATTTTTGTTCACCTTTGAAATAATTCTGACTTTTAAGTTTTTTCAAGTATTTGTTTACAAGTTTTTTCTTTTTTAATCTTATTGACAAGGTTTAATTTAATAMCTTGATTTGATTAAATGATTTCATTTTTACATGTGGTTGACATTACTATTTCATATTAAAATATTATATTATTATTAATATAATATTATACTAAATTATAAGGGCATAATAATAAAATGATATACTTTTTTTCATTTCTGGTGAACATCCAGACAAGAAATTTTACTTTTAATTATTTGAATTTCATTTGGTTCCAAATGTAATTAGAAATTTTAAATCATTTCCATTATTCAAAATGTTGAAATTTAAAATCATTTCTCACCCATTCCAAACGCTAAACCGAGCGATTTTATTTTGCACTTTTTAATTTTCAGTTTTAGAAATAAATATTATTTAAAAAGCATGATTCGCTAATTCTCAATTTCCTTTTTGGGTGGGATGGAGGGAGGTAGAGTAGGATTCTACAAAAGAAAAAAAATAARAAAACAAAAAAACAAAATCGTATCTGATGAGTGATGAAT